ATATGCATATATATATATATATACATATATGAATTTCACGCAAGGGTACACGAATTTATGTATATATATATATATATATGTATGTGTATGTATATGCATACACATATATATATATATATATGTTTATATGTGTGCATATACATATACATATGTTTTTCCATATATGTGTATATGTGCAAATATATATGCAGATACATATATAAATATACATATATTTTGCACAAGCATATATGAACACGGACAAATGTATATAAGTGTATATTAATGCATATGTAAACATATATATATATAAGCAAGTGTGCACACGAATAGGAGTGTGGCAGTATGCGTTTTGTTTGACTGTTACAGCAGAGAGCGCCCAAAAAGAAACTGTCTGGTATGTTATTTTTGAATTTTTTTAGCAGGAGGATTTAAACGGTCTTGGTCGCGTTTTGATTGCACTAGCGTTGGGTTCGAATGCGGCACGTCGAGAAAATATCAACAATAGCATGAATTTCATTTCACAGCAATGTACTACTGATTTGAAAAACATTATCACGTTAGTTGTACACTCGTTCCTTTTTACTTTCTTGAGTATTACGCGCTTTAGTAGGCGTCGTATCCCATCATGATTTGTTTGTGACAGAGATGCCACCATGGACGCTTTAGAATGATTATTGCCCGATCAGTTGCTTTTATCGAAAGAACTGCTAAGTTGGTAATTCTTTCAGAAGATGAAGCAACAGGTTGACCACAAGGCGTTACAGCATTAGTTGGCTGCATAGTTGTCAAACAGACTGTGTAGTCTCTGATTCATGTTGCCTTGGCACTTTTTATACCATAATGATAATGTTGAAGTATTCCTGCACCAGGTCATTCAGTATCATTTGTACCTTCTTGAGACAACTGTGTTAGTTTACCTACTGTATCTCCGTCTTGCTTTGATACTTTAGTAAAAGTGGGATGGATGTGGTGGTCGTTGTGGCGTGGGGTACACAGGGAAGCGTTTATTGGATGTAAAAAAAGGACAGAAAACAGCAATCAAAGTAACGGTTATGCCTGCCTAACCATAGGTTGGTGGGAAGGGATGAGCTCTGCCAAAGTCCCGTGAGGTCCAGTCGATGAGTGTAACGACGCGGAGAGTCGAGTTGAAGAGATACTTGTAGAACCAGTTGGAGTCGAGACCAGGAACAGGACCAGGACCAAGAGTAAGGCAAATGGGGGTTTATATGGAGCCTAAGGATCCACCTCGGATGTGAAGGAATGTTCTTCCATTCCGGTGATGAGGACCCAAAAGGCGCCAGACAGGAGCATTAAAAAAAGTTGTTGACCAAGACAAGGATGGAATTGGAAGGAATGTGAAGGTTTTTGAATGAGATTAAGATGGGGTAAAGGATAGGATTACGGTAATGAGTCATGAGAAGAAGGAAATAGAAATAGCATAAAAGCTATATATAACATATTTGTACCTATTTATACGTTGTCACTGGGTCATTTTGTTACTGTGTTACTTTTACATTTTGCCCATTGACCCGTCGTAGTGTTATCTTAGCTCTTGCAGTAGTCGCGATTGTTATGTATCTTGACTACTCGGACAGCCGATGTGATGATTCTGCACTAGTGTTTTTACGAGAATGCTCTCTGAGCGCAGCTATATTAGTTTTAGGGATTGTTAGTGTTGTAAAACTGTTCTTTTTGAAATGAAACGAAATAGGGTTCGAACTTGTGCAGCACTGTGTGTTAAAGCTTGACTTGTTCTCATGAATTTTCGGAAATCTGGACGATCTACAGCAGCACGCAGTCGTTTTTGATCCATATTCTGTTGAAATCTGATCACTTCTGAGACTGACACCACGTCAGTATGAAAACTACAGCCTGTAGTAAGCTGTGGATGTTTTTTGCTTCATTTGTAAAGATTTTACTGGTAACTGGTATTCAAAAATTATGTAAGTTGAGACACAAGCATGAACCTTGGACCTCAGTCAGTGAGTAACCATTACTGTGAGGATTCGATTAACAAACTGTGAATCAATATCGAAGACAACGACGGTTTTCCGCCACAGTGTTAGCAAAGCATTATGTACTGTTTGACTGCGAACATTCACTTTTCAGTGGAAAGCCTCGGGAATGCCTTGTTAACTGGGTTTTCGAGAGACATCGCAGACCGGTTTTATCTAAAAGTCCTTACGGTGCGTGGATGGCGTTTCATTCACGTACGATGCCGAAGCAGCAGGAAGCAACTTTAAAAAAGGTCATTTCAGGCTTCTGCTGCAAGCATCAATACAGCGGCCGCGTTCAATCAACGAAGTGATGCCGATGATTGGGGCTCGGTTTTATGCCCAGTTGGAAACAACTCAAATGAAGAATGATTTGCTGGAGAATGAGCTATCCAAAGAATTGGAGAATGGGCGTCTGTTTCGATTGCTGTGTAAATTGAACACAATCACTGAACGAGCAGAGTACTTTTTTTGTAATCTTCCAACAAGCTTTTGTACCCAACTTTTTTTTGCTGTGGCGATTGTGGGAGAAGAAGGGGTAGGGGTGTAGGAAGGAGGGTGGAGGGGAGGGAGGAGGGAAGGGAAAAGGAGGTGGGGAAGAGGGTGAGAGTATGGAGAGAGCTGGGTGTTCGAAAGAAGTCACAAATAAGCTCAGCGATGACAAGCCGGATGCAACTGTGCTAGACATAACAACCGTGTGCAGTTTGTCTCTATGTGTACAAGAAATTTTGAGGAGGACGAGTAGCACGGGATTTATATACTGCGAAGACCAAGAGAACCTTAGTCGAACTTCAAGCATTGTTCTGAAACTCGATTTTCTTTTCGATTACTGAGGCTGGGTGCTTGTGGAGCTCTCTGATTTTGTCTTTGGTTTTGTTGAAGCAAACTGTTCGAGCACAGTTTCTTGAAAAG